GATGACGTCACGATGACCGGTGAGTCACGGTGACGTCCCGACCAATATCGAGTCGTGGTAACGTTACCGTGACGTAATGACAAGAAAGTGTCATGGTGACGTCACGATGACCGCTAAATCATGGTGACATCAAGGTGATCGATACAGTAACGATTACGTCACGGAAAAAGGATGAGACACAATGACGTGACGGTGACCAATGAATCATGGTGACCACAATGACGCATGAGTCGCAATGACGTCACGGTGACCGGTGACGTAACGGTGACGTTACTGTGACTGATGACGTCACGATGACCGGTGAGTCACGGTGAAATGAAGGTGATTGATACAGTAACGATTACGTCACGGAAAAAGGATGAGACACAATGACGTGACGGTGACCAATGAATCATGGTGACCACAATGACGCATGAGTCGCAATGACGTCACGGTGAACGAAGAGTAACGATGACGTCACGATGACCGGTGAATCATGGTGAAATGAAGGTGATTGATACAGTAACGATTACGTCACGGAAAAAGGATGAGACACAATGACGTGACGGTGACCAATGAATCATGGTGACCACAATGACGCATGAGTCGCAATGACGTCACGGTGAACGAAGAGTAACGATGACGTCACGATGACCGGTGAATCATGGTGAAATGAAGGTGATTGATACAGTAACGATTACGTCACGGAAAAAGGATGAGACACAATGACGTGACGGTGACCAATGAATCATGGTGACCACAATGACGCATGAGTCGCAATGACGTCACGGTGAACGAAGAGTAACGATGACGTCACAATGATCGGGAAAACGCAATGACCACTAGGTGGCAGCAGGGGTCGCATTGTCCGTAGTTACCGCGCACCGACCGATAAACACTTAAATAGAAACTTTGCTCAACACCCTTCATCAAACATTGACACAACTTACCAGACAATACACTAGCGCGCAGTAACACGGGGCGGACTACGTTGCAGCGGACAGACAGACAGACAGGTTGCACCCCAGCCTGCCTGCAGCTCTAGAACTATAGCCCTTCTTCACTCTCCACGCCTGTGGCTGAGCGAAGGGCTATAGTTCTAGAGCTAGGCTGCCCGCAACATAATATATCATTACAGTACTCATGTGTCGGCTGTTATGTGTGTTCGTTGCAGCCACGTGGGTGGGAGGAGGTTACATTAATGGAACAGCCGAGGCCGTGTTCCTGTCGGGCCTCGTCTGGGTGCAGGCGCCGTTTGGATACGCCATCAGCCTGGCGCTCGGTAAGTGTGCTGCTGAGAATAAGGTAGTATGGTTCATTAGTATGGTTTATTTAAATAATGGCTTCTCTCCTCCTTTCACGTCTCTTTCTCTCTCTCTCTCTCTCTCTCTCTCTCTCTTTCTCTCTCTCTTTCTCTCCCTTTCTCTCTCTCTCTCTCTCTCTTTCTCTATCTCTCTCTCTCCCTGCCCTCGCTTAGGAAGCCACTTTTATTCTACTGCTAGTAATATATAGTAATATATCATTTTAACAAGGTGGTTGTGTCATGTTCATTCTGTGTTTACTTCTGTTTATTTGTTTACGGAGGGTTTACCTATGGTTACCTTGGTTTACCTGAATTTACTTGTGCTTACAACATGTTTACCTGATAACCTGTGTTTATTTCTGTTTACTTGTTTACGCAAGGTTTTCCCGTGGTTACCTGGGTTTACCTAAATTCACCCGTGCTTAGGCCACGTTTACCTCTTTTCATTATGTTTACCTCTGTTTACGCGCGTGTTTACACTATATTTGTTTACCGATGTTTACGTGTGTCTCCGGTACGTGTTTACACTGTGTTTGTTTACCCGGTGTTTACATGTTTACGTGTGTCTCCGGTACGTGTTTACACTGTGTTTCTTTACCCGGTGTTTACATGTTTACGTGTGTTTTTACCACTGTTTACGCACGTGTGTTACACTGGTGTTTGTTTATCCGGCGCGTGTTTACATGTTTCAGTGGTGCCTCCAGCAACGTTCTCACATTGGTTTGTTTACCCTGGTTACATGTTAGCGTGTGCCTCCGCACGTGTTACACAGTGATGTTTACCACCCGTGGTTTACCATGTTTACAGGTGTGCGCTCCGGCACGTGCTTACACTTGTGTTTTCGTTTAACGCGCGGTGTTTACATGTTTACGTGTGCCTCGTCCGGCACGTGCTTACACTGTGTTTGTTATCGACCCGGCTGTTTACATGTTACGTGTGTGCGCAGCGCGGACTGTCTTCGCTAAGCAGATGAGAGATGCTGGCTACGTCACAATGCTGGATCCGCAACGTTATCAATAACGGCAAGGATCATGGCGGACTTGTCTCTTGCAATTCGGCCCGCATCAAATGCGGGAAAGATGTTCTGGTCGGCTGCCTCGCTAAAAGCCCCACTCCGTAGATATCCTGTGATGTGTGTTTGTGGTGTGCTGTGGTGTGTGCGTGTGTGTGTGTGTGTGTGTGGTGTGTGTGTGATGTGGTGTGGTGTGCTGTGTGTGTGTGTGTCGTGTGTTGCTGTGTGTCGTGCTGTGGATGGGTGGGAGCGTTGTGTCGCATGGGTGACGAGCGTGCTGTGGACGTCGGTGTGTATTGTTCTTTGTGACTGTCTGTCTCTCTCTCTCTCTCTATCTATCTATCTATCTATCTATCTATCTATCTATCTATCTATCTATCTGTCTATCTATCTATCTATCTATCTATCTATCTATCTATCTATCTATCTATCTCTCTATCTATCTATCCATCTATCTACCAGCCATCCATCTATCTATCTATCTATCTATCTATCTATCTATCTATCTATCTATCTATCTATCTATCTATCTATCTATCTATCTATCTATCTATCTATCTATCTATCTATCTATCTATCTATCTATCTATCCAGCTATCTATCTATCTATGTATCTATCTATCTATCTATCTATCTATCTAGCTATCTATCTCTCTATCTATCCATCTATCCATTCATCTATCCATCTATCCATCCATCCATCTATCTATCTATCTATCAATGTATCTATCTCTTGCTCACGCTCTTTCTAAACACATCCTAAGCATTCGCTACCATCACCAAAACGATTAACGGTCTTGTTACTATGACAACGCAGGTGCTACGCTGACGGTGGTACTGGACCTGGATAAGCGAATATCTATCATAGTGTCGGCGTGCATCGCCATCTTCTACACATTCTTCGGAGGTCTCTACTCCGTCGCCTACACCGACGTCGTTCAGCTCATCTGCATATTTGTCGGTCTGGTAAGTCTTCCTCTCCGTTGCCTCCCTTTTCCCTCGCTCAGTCTGCTTCTTCTGCCAGCGCCCACTCAGCTACCTTCCCTGTCGCCTGTCATCCGTCTCCCACCCCTCACCCTCAGCAAGCTATATTATGCAGTTTTATTCAGTCCGTATTACACGCTTGCAACGGTGCTCGCGCATGCGCTATATCTCCCGAAACGAATAATATTTTGCGCAGATTAAGCATTTAAACTGAAGATGGATTATCCGAGCATAGATTTCCATAATAATATTCCATCAGTAGACCTCACTTAAGATGTAGGAAGAATACCTTGCATGTAATGTCCCTATTCCATATACCAGCCAGTACACAATCTCGCTACGTTATAGTGTTAGCGCAAGTAAAAGGGCAAGTTAAAGGGCAGTATCTCACCAGAGGAGTTATATTTGATAATGAATATGCATTTAATATGGTTAGGGGGTATCTCAGCATAGATGTATGGAATTAATTTGTATCAGTGGATCTGTGCTTATAATTAGTAGAGCGCCCTAGCTTGGAGGGAGCAAAACTCCTAATTCATCCAATCCCGTCCTCCCCGTTACCTCCTTTGAAACGGTCCTCGCACATGCGCTATATCTCCCCAGAAGACGAATATTTTGCAAAGATTATGCATTTAAAATGAAGAGGAATTCTCCGAGCATAGATATTATTATATTTTACTGTGTTACAGTGGATCACTTGATGTTTTGTACTTGTATTTTGTATATTTAATACTGTGTTACAGTGGATCACGGAGTATTATTATATTTTACGCTGTATGACAGTGGATCAGTGGATCTTTTGTACTTGTATTTTGTATATTTAATACTGTGTTACAGTGGATCACGGAGTATTATTATATTTTATACTGTGTTACAGTGGATCACTTGATCTTTTCTACTTGTATTTTGTATATTTAATACTGTGTTACAGTGGATCACGGAGTGTGATTATATTTTATAATGTGTTACAGTGGATCACTTGATCTTTTGTACTTGTATTTTGTATATGTAATACTGTGTTACAGTGGATAACGGAGTATTATTATATTTTATACTGTGTTACAGTGGATCAGTTGATCTTTTGTACGTGTATTTTGTATATTTGGTACTTGTATTTATATATATTTTGGCTTGTATTTTGTATAGATGTTTTGCTCTGTGTGTCATGGATCACGTGTGCCGTAGCGCCTGCGTCCACCCCAGCAGTTCACCAGCATTCTCTGTGACCGCAGCCAGCCCACCAATCCTTGGTAGGCGGTACTCTGGAGGACAGATTCGGCAGGAGTCTGGGTTTGGACTACGCTCGTACTCCTCATCCTTTGGAGGCATCCCCTGGTGTGGCGTGGCAGTCTAGGTCTTCGCCTGGTGGATAGTTCGTCGTGGTGGATGCAGTATGGGGTGATAGGCGTGAGTGGGGTTGGAGAGCTGAGGTATTAGTGGACGGAGGTATGTGGTGAGAGGGTTGGGGATGGCGGAACGGTTGGCGAAGCCCTCGCATGGGCGGGCGGCCAGGCGTCGGGCACAGGAAGAGGAGGCATTGGGGGAGAGGCGGGATCTTGTGATGAGCGACTAGCTAGGATAAACTATGTTGTGCTAATTGCCACGCCTGAACTACGTCGCGGTGTCAACACTGGGCGCCGTCGTGCGCGCGACTACTCTCCTATACTGTTCTCTTGTCTGCGTCTCCTCGCTCGCGGCGGCCGCCTTTTTATAATCTCCTTTTAATGGCGATCAGCGTCCATCTTTCGTTTTCCTGGCAACACGACTAGCCAAGTTAGCACTCACATCATCGCTCGCCAACAGGCCGCGTCCTTGGCTGGTGTACGCAGTACTCAAACATGACCATAAGAAAATTGTACAATGTTGGAATCATTATATATATATATGCAGAGAATAATTTAATAATAAACAATGCTTCTAATTTAAACATTGCGGGCCACTGGTACATAGGCCCTATTATAAAACACTGTATCGATGAATAATAAGGGCCTGATATAAAACATGGTATATGAATAATAAGGCCTATATTAAAACACGACGCACGGCCCCCCGCGAAACGGCCGCGGGTATATGAATAATAAGGCCTATTATAACACCTGTATATGAAATGAATATAGGCGCCTACTACTAAATTACTGTACCTATGAATACATAAGCGCTTATAAACATGTACAATGAATAATAAGGCCTACTATTAAACAGCTGTATATGAATTTAATAAGGGCCCGTATATAAAAACGATGTATATTGAATATAAGGCCTATATTAAGACAACTAGTATATGAATTAATAAGGCCTTATGATAAATACTGTATATGGGTAATAATAAGGCTATATAAATACTGTACGCAAGTAATAGGCTATATAAAACTGATACGATGAATATAAGGCCTATATTTAAACACTGTCATTGAATAATAAGGATATTAAACACGCTGCTACCCATGACTAATAAGGCCTATATAAAACACGCCTTGTTACATGAATAATTAAGGGCTATGATAAACACTGTGTATGTAATATATAGGCCTATTATTAAAACACTTGTATATGAATAATATAGGCCTAATATAAATCACTGTATATGAATAAATAAGGCCTATATAAACACTGTATTATGAATATAAAGGCCGTATATAAACATACATATAATGAATAAAAGGGACTTATAAACATGTACGCATGAATAATTAAGGCCTGCATACTCAAACCTCAAGCACCCGGCCCCCCCCCCATTATATTAAACACTGTTGATGAATAATTGAAGGGCCTATCATAGAACACTGTATGATGAATAATATCGGCCCTTATAAAACATGTTATGAATAATAGCCTATTAAAACATCTGTATATGGAATGAATAAGGCACTATAGTAAACACTGTATATGAATTAATTAGGCCTAATAGTAAAATATGTACATATGAATAATAAGGCTATATAAACACTGTGATAATGAATAATAAAGTGTGCCTATATAACACTGCTATATGGTGACTTACTAAGGCATATATAAACACATGTATATTAAATAAATAATGGCTTATATAAAACCACTGTTATCATTGATAGTAAGCTACCTATAAATAAGCTGTAACATGAATAATAAGGCGGATCTATATAAACACTGCTATATGAATCAATTAAGGCTATATAAACCACCTGTTATATGGAATAATAAGGCCATATATAAACACTGTTATGAATAAAGAGGCTAATATAAACACTTTTATAATGAATATAGGCCTATATAAACACTGGTACATAAAGCTGCAACCATAATTGCTATCTTTTGCGGCCGCATGGTCTACGTTTCGCGTGTTTTTCGATCGGCAGAGGTCTGCGCGGTCCCGAGACAGGGCGCCTGTCCGTTTTATAGCTTGGCTGCTGAGCTGTTATCTTCATGAGTATACCTCATATACTCATTAGGCGCGATCATGGAAGCTTCGTACGGTGACGTGGCTCCCTAAAACACATTCTTACTATCCGTCACCGCCCTCTATATAGTATGAGATTTCCCTTCCGTATTTCATAGGCCGCCATAAGAGCTTCTAACCGTTAGCTGAAGTTGGCGCGCCTAACGACACTCTCTCATAACCATTTAGCTGCTCTCTATGACAACGTTCTCCCACCGCAGCGGTCTTCCTTCGTACACGGTATTAGTATTTTCTTGTTGCTTCGTCGTTCTTCTTCTGTCTTTTTCTTTTCTTCTTCTTTTTTCTTCGCCTTTGCATCATATAGACTTCCTATTTGCTTAACCGTCACGCATATAGACGTTGGACAGACGCGACGTCGTACGGGCCGGCGGTCGTGGCCGGATACCAGACGACGACAAGTTTTTCGCTGATTCTTCCCATCGTCATTGACAGCACCTGACGGCCGAACGGGTGGTGCCGCCTTTCGTCGGGCCTGGGCGTCGGCGTGGTCGGGACTGCCGTCATGTTCGTCTTGCCGATCTCATTCGTGTCTGAGCGACGGCGGGGGCGGGGGGTGGGGGGGGGGGGGGGGGGACCTTTCTTTTATTTTTTTTTTTATTCGCTCTTTGCTAACAACATCGTCAGAGCTCAGATCATGGAGAGCTCGCCATCGCCGGACGGAGCGTACGTGCTCAGGAACGTACGGACCGCTACCACGGAGCGGACCGGAACGCTATCGGGACAGTGACCCGCAGGCATCGCGTTAACGGAGCGAACGGACAGTCGTACGGACCGACACATCGTCCTACGACGACGCACCCACGGATGAGATGGCACGGTACATGGACGCCACCTACAGACGTACAGACGTGACGGACGCATCCCACGAAGAGAGCAAAACAGAGACAGCCCACACGGACGCGACGGCACCGGACGGCCCGATGAACAGCGGGACGGACCACCACGGGACAGATAATAATACGCAAGACGAATTACAAATATACAATAGATACACATGTACAATTCAGATAACTATGACGAGCTATAGAGGAAGCACAACAATTCAACTTGATTAATTTGCATTACTCGTCGCACCTATGTTCTCACGGATCACGTTGATACGCTGAACTAACCATCACGTCATGTAGTTTCCCGAGCGCTCACCGCAGGGCGTGGCGCTTCGTCGTGGACGGCTCCGCGGCGTGGTATCGTCGTTGTCGGCGTCCTCGCCATGGCTCGTCGGACTCTCCACTCGCGAATCCATACCTACGGCGTCCTTATCTGGTTACCTTCGTGTTCGACCTCGTTCTAGCGTACTTCTCTTTGCCTAAGCCTGCTGTCGTTCGCACTCTACGTTCGCTGCAGCGCGGAACACGCTCTATACGGTTCCGTCGTCGCCTAGCATCGATCGCTGCCTGTATCCTGCGCTTCCGTCGCGGCTGGGGAGCCGCCTGGATCGGGCTGCACCTGCCGTCCATCTACCCTCGACCATAGCAACGAACGGCCATGCATGGTCAGCTGTTTCCGTTCGAGACGCGTTGGCGAATGTTGGCAAGATTGAGCAGAGTTGTTGCCAGGGCTCAGCGCTGCCGCATTATCTGTTCACGGAATTGCCGCAAGGTGGCGCTGAAAGTGCCGGACCGGTGTTAACAGATAGCGTACGGCAGAGAGGTGCCGGAACGATGAAGTGAACCTTCCCGGGAGGATAACCCCGGTGTTGCATGAGCGCGGTGGACAGCGCCATCTGTGTCGTGGAAACGAAGAGATGAAATTCAACGGCGGAGCATAAGAAATCTGTCTTGTATCGCCAGGAGGAGTGAGGTGGAGAGAGAGAGACGAGAGAAAGAGAAGGAGGCATACTCGCTGATTAGCAAAGATGACCCACGAGCCTGGTAGCTGGGCACCGGGGCAGGGGAGAGAGGTTTCCTCCAGCTGGGTCATTAGACCTGAGATTATTATACCATATTTGTATAGGCTCTTAAGTATTGAATACCACGTTGATGTTACGCGACACAATTATGAAGCGGTTTGTGATTTAGGTCGGATCGGCGGATCTCTCTCGATCCGATTTGATTTCCGTTGATTGAATGCTCTTAGTTTTAGGTCAGGATATTGATTCGATCCCTCGAACCCGATCCTTCTAGCGAAGCGGATTGTTGGAACGGGCATCTACATATGGCGGCCTGCGCACCTCAGCCATATACAGCTTGTTCCTTTGTTATGACCATCCCGTTGAGACAAGGTCACAAAGCGAAACGTGAGAAGTGAACGTTGAAGTTTTGCGTTGTGTTTGATCGGTCAGGATTATATGATCGTCATTCAGGACGGTTGTCCCAAACAACGCGCCCATACGAGTGGGAGATTTCAAGTTAGTTTATTGATCCTGCCTTATCAGGATATTCCAGCGTAGACTGGCTGAAGAAGTTAACGGTCTCATAGGGTGAAGCGTGAGTCAGTAGCATCGCGGCAAGCTACCTGCTAGTCAAGTCGTAGACGATGACCGCTTTAATATAGATGCTGTTTATATTGGGTGAAACGCGGGCGTGTTAATGTTATGCGCAATGGTAATGTATGATGTTCTCGGTTGATGTTATATAACCTGTATTTATAATCATTGCCATAATAAACGTGTTCGCATTTTTTATATAATGTTATATTAAATATTATTTAATATATATATGTATATAGTAGTATATAAGTATATTATATATATTGTTTTATTAACATATTCAGATATATATTCTTTTATATATTAGAGATAATTAATTTAAATTATAGGAAATTAGTTATTATGGTAATTAAATCACGCCATCGGACAATGATCACGTGCTAGCGACTGCAATCACGTGTCTTAAAATGAGATTTTAAACGAATGATTTAGAGCCTTTCTCCTATATGGCTACGGAATTTCAAATGTGGCATGACTCCAGGAGCTGAGATATCACTCTCTGAAATGAGCCCCTCAAAACACAGAAATCAATGCAAATTAATGTTTGCTCCATGCGGTTAAGCGCAGTGTTAGAACGAGGGTTAGGGTGAAATGCAACCAACAAAGTTAAGATATTTTGATACTGTTAGTGTTAGGAGACAGGAGTGCCACAAAAGAGTGAAACGAGGATAAAATCTCATTTCTGGTACAAAATGTGTGTAAAATGAGTGTATTTTAATGTAGATATGTAAATAACATGTACATATGTACACGGATATCAGACATGTTTACCTAAAATATATGTTTAAATGTCATGTGAACATGCATGTGTCTAAAAACCATGCTAGAGGACTTGCATAACTGATTTTCATTAACATAAAACTCAATTATTCGATTTCTTTGGCAGAACAGCTCTCCTTACCATGCGCTATTAAGGTGTTGAACAACAGTAGCGGGCGTCCATAGGCGGCAGGCCTGAATAAGCATCGAACAGGAATTAATTAAAAATACTCACACTGTTACTGCGCTTACACAAGATACACTTTATTCATGTTAAATAACTACTAGTCAGGTGGCTTAGGCCCAGATTTGAGAAGGATGGGGACATGCCGGATAAAAGCACCAAACTTTTTCCATATACTATCCAGTGCCTTAGGTTTCAATTTTTGATAGGAGCCACTTCAGCAAGATAGAGGAAGGCGGCCATCTTGGATTCCAAGATGGCCGCTATGGATAAACCTGTAAATGTCAATATCTCGGCTTCTTTGCCACTCAGGAGGGCAAACTTGGTGTCTAAACATATTCTGGGGTGAGGAATGCATTAAACTATTTAGCGCATCGAGAGATAAATATTTGCATCAAAATTGGAATCCAAGATGGCCGCCTTTCTCTATCTTGTTGAAGTGGCTCCTATCAAAAATTGAAAGTTAAACTTGTGGTGATGGATAGCACATGGAAAAAGTTTGACGCTTTTATCCGGAATGTCCCCATCATTTTGTTTAGCCACCTGACTAGTGAGCGTTCTCACTCGTATAATAAAGTCACATCACGGTGCAGCTGTGTTTTGGCGAGCATGCAGAGTCCGCAAACACGTCGTTTTACACCTGTGGTAGATCAAGTTGCGACAATAGTTTAACGTATATATATCGAAGGTTCTATGCTTATGCAGGAAGGGATTTCGCCCGATATACTGTGTCTAGTCTGACTTTGCATTTTTACATCCTCCGAAGCAGCATCGTGAGCTAAGACGTTGGAGCTGCCCCATTCATCGTTCCCTGCTGTGCGACGACTGCCGCTGACAGTTCGCGGCTTTGCTCTCACCAGCTGTAGGCTGGGGACGGGTTGTGGTGCACGTATTCGGTGCTGCTTGCACGAGGAGTCTTGCAAAATGAGATTGGTAATGAAAATGCCTGCTCCTCTTTAAGTAGGGTTTGATGTTAGGCAGTTGTCACGAGTATTAATGTTATTTATGTTTGTCGTACACATGTACGTTGTCGGTTATTACGTAAAGCGGTTTTGCGGTGCGGCTAAATAACAAAGATTTAGGATATCAAGTGGCGCCATCGATGGGCAAATAGCAGCGTACAAAAGACCACTGGTTAGTGGTAGCGTATGGTAGAAAGTCTAGCTAGCACGGTGGACAATATGTTTCATGACACGGACTTCGTCGCGTGCATAGTCAGGTAGCGTCACGTGTACGTCAGTGTGCTATCCACCATCCATAAGACCAACTCACGCAACGTCACCATCGCATGTAGGGGGGGGGGGGGGGGGGGGGGGGGGGGGGGGGTGCATAATAGGCACATCCATGAATGTATCAAAACCCAATACACGCTGATGCCGCCTCGTACGCCGACGGCCTGTTTAACTTGTCTGAGGTAGTTGTTGCGAATGCATTCTGGTTGTTTTTTTTTTTTTTATTTTATTTATCTTATCAATTTAACTATTTTTCCGCAATTAAACGCAAAGTTTTACATGATTTATTACAGATGTTTTACTTCTTTTTTTTAAAATAAATTTAATTTATTAAGTGCTTATAATTAATTATTAGGTTAGGGTTGGAAGGGTTAGGGTTGTGATTATGCATCATTGCTATGATATACGGAAAGTTCTGATGCATGCGCATACGCACCAGCTACATGAATCAGCGGCTGTATGCGTTACATGCATTCAACATCGGAGTAGCGAGTTCGTGGCATGACGTAACCTGACGTCACGGAAATCACGTCAGTGTTATTGAAACATATCCCGCAAGCCAGACGCACGCAGCCGACCCACGCGCTGCAGCGCGAAAACGCCACGTAGCGGCCGCAATACAAACCAGACCTGCACGATCAAGAACACTTTCTCGAGGCCCTTTAGGGTATAAGGCTACAAACGGTCCGGAAAGCAAACAAAAGCCCGACGTTTGTCAATAGCACGAGCGTTTGACTACGTCACGTAGCTCGTGATTGACTCCAAATGCACCAGAAGGATTTTGACGCTAATGGGCGAGGCGCGTCGCTAGTGCCTCAAAAACGGAGTTTAAACGTTTTCCAGTCGAGACACGCCCACGGACAAGTGCCTATCACCGCGCGCGCGCTCTAGCCATAGCCAGCGTCGGTTGCTGGGGAATTCCGTGTCATTTTATTCCTTACCGGCTACTCGAAACCCGGCCAGGCCGACTATGCTATGGCCGTAGCAACGGCCCCACGTGGCCCACGTGTGTTCTTACCTGTACCGCACGGTATTGAACACACTAGTCTATCGAGTCGAAGCCATCTAA